AGATCATGGTAAAACCAGACATATCGACAGAAAGTACCATTTTATCAGACATAGAGTAGAAGAAGGCCATCTTGTAGTAAAGAGGGTGTCATCTGAAGATAACCCAGCAGACCCCCTCACAAAGGGTCTGAGTAGGGCTAAGCATATTCAGCATGCTCGGAGCATAGGACTGAAAGATGATATTAGTTTTAGTAGTTAGATTAGTTCTGAAACTTGTAACAAAGTAAATGTAATTGACTTTTGGTGATTAAATAATAAAGTATTATTTATGAGTTTGTTTACTGCCTTTTGTCAATTGTTTATTGTGTTTCATTTTTGCATGTTTTACTTCCCGAATAATAAGATTATTCAAACTCCACAGTCGCTCGTACTTTTGGAAGTAAGTAGTGAATTAAGACTGTCATGAATTGGATTGCAGATTGTCTGAGGATAGACATGGCAATAGAATTGCTGCAATGTTCATGAGTACTCAGAAATTGAGATTTGAGTATTGGATAAACCCTCGCTCAGAGTATCACTTCATGGAATTCATCACGAGTAATACTGAGACGATAATATCTTATAATCTTGAAACGAAGATATATGAGTTGTAATTTACAAAGTCGGTTATACATTGGTGATACGAAAACGCATCAGTAACTTGGTGTTATAAAACGTATTGTCATGTATAATTTGATGAGTAAAAGATACAAGCATATGAGTCAACGTTTATTCGTTCCTTTTGTCCTAACCGGAAAAGCGATATATGTGGGCCCCTCGATGATTTGGTGTTGACTTATGTGTTGGGCCCAGCCAGGACTAAATTGATGTGTTCAATTAGAAGTCCTACATCATCACAAATCATAAATCGGGAAACATAGATTCTGTACAAAGAGATTGATTACATTCCATGTCTTATGTCTGGGGATATCTTGCAGAACGAAGGATTATATGATCACTTATCTAAGGACACGTAACTGACTGGGTCAGAGTTCAACAACAGCTTTTGGAAGCTACAATTTGCTGGTCAAATTTAGAAGTCATACTAGCAATTATAGTTACAGACTTATCCAAGTGGGAGACTGTTGGATTAGGTGTCTAAGCCCATAACTATAATTGGTATGTACTTGAATTGATAACAGCACAGTCCTTTTGGGTTGCCCTCAACCTAGCAACTGGACAATGAAATTATGAAAGGAGAGATATTAATTTATAAGATTAATAAATTAATATAAATGATTTATTAATATGTTAAAAGATTAATATATTAATTAGAAATCATTATGTTTAATTAATAGTTAGCCAAAAATTAATCAGAATTAATTTTGGGGTTAAAAGTATTAATTATAAAGTGCAGAGACTAGTTTGCAATTATCTAATAGTTGAGTGGAAGGCTCCAGAACCTCCTTGAAAGGAGGTGGACGAAATCTATAGGGGAAACCCTAAGGATTTCGTCCAAGGGGCTTTGGATAAGGCCTTTGGGTTAGCTTAGGCCCTAAGCAAAGGAGTATTAGGGTTTTCCCTAAACCCTAGATCCCTCAGCTATATAAGGAGCCTCCCAGCTCCTAAAATCGGCCACTCCTACCTTGGAAGAAACCCTAGGCCGATTTTTGCATACCCTACCCTCTTTCCTTCAAGTTTCCTTCTTGCTAGTTCTTGGGTGTGATTCCATTAGAGGCATTACATTTGTGGTGCTAGGCTTCCAAGAAGATCAAGTTCAAGAGGATTAACAATTGTTTGCTATAACAATTGAAAGGTATGTAACTCTTAAACTCTAGTTAGTTATTTTCGAAAATAGCCTCTCTTTTGTAGGGTTCTTGTTTTGCAATTCAAAGTTATATGTTCAATAGTTAAAACATAGATCCAAAGTAGGTTGCATGTGAACTTAAGAATTGTTTTTCTAGTTTATTTGTTTTACCTAAAACCTATCATTAATACCTATGAAATTGACCTTTGTTTAGTTAGTTGCATCATTGTGTCTTATTGTCACTCACTTGCTGCCAATTTTATGAGGTAAATAAACGCCAAGGTTCTTTCCTTAATAATTTCTGATAATATGAAACTAACTACTTCATCAATAGCTATAATTTCAAAGTTTAACACACCTGGTGTTCCTATTGGTGATATGGAGCTCTAATGATCATCGATGAACAAGAGGTAAGGAATCAGTTTAGGTAAAGAACTTGAACCATATTTTCGTTTCTTCCTTTTATGGTCTAACATGTGTGCTCCCTTCTTGCGATAAGGTTTTTTTGTTGAAATTTATAATTTAACCTCTATGCCCCCATAGATTCATGGATACTATGCTCAAAGTGGATGCTAGCCTAATCACAATCAATGTTATTCAGACATTTGAGAGGTAGCCTTTTTTATTAAATTATTTCTTTTTTTTTTTCCAAATGCTCAATTGATGTCACATATTTTTACTTATGGTAGTGCAGATGAATTACAAATCATAGAAGGGTGTTTTGGTAACTCCTATTTGTTGATTGTTGTAGGATGGACAAATTGATGACGGGGAATTTGCTGCAACGATGAGGAAGTGTATTGGTGGAATTGGGAGAAGAAGCATCATTTTTTCGATTGTTTTGATTCCTTTATACTGTCGTGTTAATACGGAGAGCCATATTGTTAAAATAAATGTCAATAATGCATTCTCCCTTTATTATTCTCTTGAGTTAAATTCCAATGTTCAATTGTTTAACTACCCTTTGGAATTTGGAGACATATTGAGTCCTAAATAAAACCGAAGGTTACCAACCCCTGCAAAGCGGGGGAACCTTCACTAGTTGTTAATTTATTTGTTTCATCTAAAATTATAATGATGTCCGTATGCTTCTTGGCTAATTAATTTGTTATCTAAAACTTATAATAATAATAATAATAATAGTGTGTCAATAATTTTTTATAATTGATTTGTTTTTTTTTTAACCGGCAAATACAAATATTATAATCTATTCCTAAACTAACACCTAATTCCACCACAGGACTTGAACCCTTAACCTTAAGGAGGGAGCACACCACGTGATTTGTTTAATCAACGTTTATAAGGGTGGGTGTCCATCTATAACTTTTAACAATGTCTATCCAAAATATAATATCTCAAAGAACTTCATACATAAAGGGTGTCTATGAGCTTAATGTTGGTTCGGTTTCGACAGAGTTTAAATTCTTATTGATACAGGACAAACCGTATTATTCAAGAATAAACCTAATTATTATGTTTTTTCACTTTACATCTCTGTTTTTATATTAAACTTTTATTTTTTACCTCTTATGTTATTAGGAATACATACTAAAAACTAAATATTTTTGATGAATTAATTTTTTAAAAGAGATAATTGTTACTTTCAAAATGAGACCAACATTGAATATGTTTTTGTCAAACTTTTTTCTTTATCAAAACCTTTAAGTTTAGTTTATAGAAAAAACTAATATTATTATATTTTTAGTTTTATAAATATAATTTGTTTTGACTTTTACCATTTTATATAATATATATTATAATATAATAAGTAACATGTGGGGCCTATTTATAAACATTTAAAAATGTTTATGGATAATGTTATGGGTATAAAGAGGAAAAGGGGTACACGGAGAAACCAATTATATGGTGAATCCCTTTCAATTGAATCCATGGGTGAAATAAAAATCCATTAACCTAATCCATGGGTCATATGAATCCATCTAACACATGTCTCTAATTCATATGTGAAGGCATTTTAATTGAACCCCAAGATGGATCCATATTAAGTACTAAGTCAAGATGAATTACTAAAATTTAGGTGAAGATGAATCCAAAGGTGGGGATCCATATTTCATAATGGGTCAATATACTTTTTGATGTGGATTTTGTTTTTTATTGTAGTAAATTAATTTGTCCTTTATTTTCATTTAGCAAATTAAAACTGTTTTTATTTCTAATTTAAAATAATATAAATAAAAAATTAGCGAAAGAGATAGACAAATTTTTTATTTTTATTTATATTTATTTACTGTATTTATTTTGATAAAAAGTGTGGTCAGAAAAAGAAAAAGAGAGTGACATGACGCATACGTATGGACGTATGGTGATTTAGGTTTTTAAATGAATTTTTTTACTTTTGTCATTATTACTTTCTAAAGTCGGTTGACATGTTACTAATGTTTACAGTAATTTCCAATATGACATTTGAATATTTGATTGTTTTGGAGTGTACTTTTTTGTACAAAAAATATTTCGACAGGATTGGACCCATCAGACAGCTAACGGATTTTAATAGGTAGATAAATGTTAAATGCCGTTCAAAAAAAAAAAAGATAAATGTTAAATAAAAAAAATCAAATTATCAATAGTTTATCTAGAAAAAAAACATTTCTTGATTTTTAGGTAAAATGCTAAAAATGCAAAAAGTTTTTCTATATGTACATAAATATTTCTATTTTAATAACAAAAAAATTTATCCTAATCATAAGAACTTAGTGGTTGAGATCAAAATTTCATGTGTTCAAAATATTGTTATTTGGAACAGATTAACATAGGCCCCTTATCATTGTGTTTTTTAAAATTTAACTTTGGCCAAAGCAAATCTCAGACCCACAACCTTCGAAGTTAAGAAACTAAATAATTAATCAAAGAGGTTATATGTATTCAAGACACCACCCCACTAATTAAGGCCGGAGGATGTGGTCTCGTCACCTCCTCGTCGAAGGCTGATGTGGACAATAGGAGGCTCTCAGTGCATGACATACCGAGGTTTTATGCTATCGTGAGCACTTTCTTGCCACTTCTCTCTCCTCGGCAAAGACTCGGAGAAAGTGATGGTTGAGGTGGCCCTTGGCACCACTCATATGAATGCGTGAGTGGATTGTTTGAAATGAGAAAAACATTTAACAATCTTTTTAACAATTTACTAATCAAACTACACAACCATAAATCATCCCAAGAAAAAACAAAACTCTTAGTACGTACATTAAGTAAACAAATGTACCATTTTTACACAAAATTAGAGCTGAAAGACAAGATTCAGTCGAGCAACCCATCATGGGCTATATAAAGTCCTTCCACACTTGCATTTCCAGCTTTCTGGCTTATAGTTCGAGTCCTGTACATGTATGGCTACACCCACATATCCACTAATGCTTGGCACCTGTGTCGCATCACAAGGACTGCACCCATAACACTTGTGCTCACAGCTCGGTGGATTCGACCCTATTCTGTTGGCAGCCACTCTATCACCCTTCACAACACACCAAGATTTAAACTTCTGGAACACGGTGCCCATTAGTCAAACTGGTAAAAGGAGCGAGAAAGACATACCTGTTTCACATAATCCATGGTCAATTGATCCAACGGAGGACCTTTTGCTGGTTAAAAAAGATGATAAAACATGATAAGAAAGTGAAAGAAGGGTAATTCTTCTTGGTTGGGGGTGGGTTACTGACCTTGGTGAGGAGGGATTGCAGTAAAAAGGGCTTCATTTGGTGGCAAGGGCCTGCAAAGTACACTCAGAATATGCACCATTATCATAAGAAAACTGAAGATTATTGATTTCATTCCTTTTGGGGGGGGGGGGGGGGGGGGTAATTGATTATGCTGGCAGTGTGTTTCTTGATGATATATATGGAGTTTGGAAATATATATGATGGATCTGTATTAGTATATAGAGATATATAGAAGGACTCGTAAAGAAGAAGTTAGAAGATTTCATCGGGATTGCATCTGACAGTAATTGTTTGATTTGCATAGTGATAGGGAGTGATCAAGTGTATGCAGCTGGATATGTTGCTTCTCGTACAAGTGAGATTATGTACCAGGCACGATATTAAGGACTGTTCAGTAAAATGAGACAGGTGAAAGACATATATCATTGAATAACTATCCATTTCATATATTACTACTGCAATAAGGGATTGATCAATCCTTTTGCTAAAAGGATCATCTTTTTGGGCTAGCACGGGTATTTTTTCTCCCGTCTAACAAAATATTATTTAATTTTATTTTTAACGTTTAGTTTGTTAGTGTGGAGTGTGGACTATATATAATCAAACAAGAATGATATTATTGCTCAATTGTGAAAACCTATGAAGGCGGTTTATAAATTTTCATGTTTGATGCATGCAAATAAAAAACCGTGTAAGCGAATGATCAATTTAAACCATATGAGAGTTCAAATCTCTTTGAAAGAATCAATATATACTATATTTTCTTTTATTATATTATTATGCGTGTTAGTGTTTGCGTAGAATTAAAATTAGTTTATGATGATTTCATGAAGATCAATGAATGATATTAGAAACCATGCAATAGTTGTAATGCAAAAACTGAAAACATACAATAATAGGTGCCCTTCTTTAAAGCAAACATATATAACCAAAAAGTTCATTGGTAGCAGCTTTATTGGAATAGTACCTTATATTTTTCTGCCTTGTAACTATGTTACATCTATTTAAATCTATAGGTATAAATTGGTGATTGTAGGTCTTCTTTAGTATATCTAAAAACTAGGGTTTCATAATAAGAAACCTGTCATTCAAGAATCCTGAATGATTCAAGCCGCAGGCGCAATACCACTATCGTCGTCATCATCGTCGTCGTCGTCGCCATCACCATCCATGGATGCATCAACACAATGGTAATAACCCCATTTTTCATCGCCATCTATGACATCATCACATGCATAACCTTTAGAAATGGGTTGATGGTCATGGTCATGGCCTTGATAGTCATTTTCATCATTATGCATCTTCCATATCATCTTTACAACATGAAACATTTTCTTGAAGAGTAGACGGAAGTAGAACAACCAAGATAATGCTAGTTGCTAGCTCTTCACTTTCAAGTTGAAATGGTTAGGAAAGATAGTTGAGAAGTAACATATAAATAGAGTTAATTTGGGAATAAGGGTTAGTGCGGAGGGAATCCATCTCTCCAACCTCTCCTAAACCACATGCTATATAGGCGTCACATCAGTTTTCTGCCACCTATTACTTCCAACCCTCCCAACCCTCAACACTTGGAAATGGAACCCTCCCAACTCACATTTTTTGGTACAAGTTATGACGCATATGATACAGATTGAGAGAAGAGAAAAGAGAGATGGATCGCCGGGTTCATCAACCCGCTCAACCTTCAACTTTTTTGGTGTTTACATTTCCATCCTGTACCCCATCTTTCACAGCTCCATTCACCTTTAAGAAGGAATCAAACAAATGGTTATTATGATGTTTTAAATCTATGGTCCCAGTTTATTTGACCTAAAGTAAAAGGAAAGAGGCTTTAACCATGTCGTACACTAACACGAGCTTGAACAAGCACCAACAGAAGATAATGACCATGGTAAGAGCTATTAATAACTTGGGAATGTATAGTTCTAAATATACGAAGTTATATGAAAGCTCTCCCTGCACCCCGTTGGTTGAAGGTTGAAGTTTTATTTGGGACGAAGATGTGTACTTTTGGAATAAATTAAAAGGTGTGTTTTAGTCGTTAAAAAGATGTATTTACATTTCTTATATAGGTTTAAACCGTAACATTAACTTTACTATATCCATGATCTCTTAATTCATCCCGATTCTTTTCTTAATTAGCAACTATTTGAGTTAAGATCTCGAGGGTAGGTTGGGTTAAGCTTATATGGTCTAATTAAATAGGTCAATCATCATCCCGTTCTAAGAGGGTTATAATTATAAATGTTTAAAAACTAGTCACACTCATAACTTCTAAGGTTTTTCATATATATAGGAAAAAAAAATTAAATATCCTTATATTTTTTGTTCCTGCCCATTTAAAATTGTGACAAGTGTCTTCAAATATTATTAGAAAAATAAAACTTAACACTTGTTATAATTTTAAATATGTAGGAATGTGGGTAAGAAGGAAAAGTAGAAGGATATTTGAATTCTCATATAGGGAATAAGATCAAATATTATCATGTTAAATGCTAATTAAATAGATTTATCATGGTATATGATTAAAAACTATATCATGTTATTTTGGTAGAGTTGCATTACAAAATGAGTATAATTAGTATTTTCTCAATAAACATGTCATACATTCATCTGAAATTAATATCCGTGTATTCTCACATTTAGTCATTAAGTGTTGAGAAAACCACTTTGATTATTTTGAGACAACCAGTTCGATATATACTGTAATGGATTCATTAGCATACAATTATAGTAATTAAATGTGTAAATACCGTAGAGTATAATTAAATTAGGGACTTCTCCAAACAAGTTTCAGCCACTTGAAGAAACTTAGTTTTGGTGTCACATCATCGTTAGGTTTCTTAAACCATGTTATGTTCTCCTACTTTAACCTCCTAATTATAAGAAGGTTATAATGCTTTGAAAAATCTAAGCATTTTTGTTTCTTCCATCATTCATTCCTACATGTTTTGTAGAATGACATCGTTCTTATTACGTATAGATAAGTTATAAGAATTATTCAGTACTTTTATAAAAATATAGATTTAAAACTTTGTGATTAACCAATTAACATATCTCTTCCAAACTCATTGAGTAATAAAAAGACAAGATTTAAGATCAAAATTGTAGATTATACCTGCCAATTTTCATTTATAAACCTAAAAATATCAATATAATAAGAAGGAATTGGTACAAATCCCTTTCATTTGCATTCTCAAAGCAAAAGGGTGAGTAAAAGTCTTGTGGGACCAATGGCGTAATAGATTGTGAATGGCAAATTTGTGTTTGTGTAAGTGAATCTCGTGGGAATGTGTGTGTTGCTGCAGGAAAAGTGTGCTGCACATATGAAATATCATTCACCTTGGATGCTTACATGGCACATTTCAATCCACAAATCATGTTGAAGAAGTTAAAGAATAATGATCTTTATGATGCATCTTTACTACCAAAAAGTGAATATATGTGTTGGTGGTGGTAGACAAATCATTTGGGTGGACTATGGGAATATTTCACTAATATGTAACATTAGAACCATTTTGTAATAATTATTTTAATGTCGTTATACTAATATGCCGTCTTAGTAACTATGTCAATATGACATAATAGGTGCCCGTGTTTCCTAAGGGTTACTTGATAGAAAGAGCCGTTAATATATAAATGGGTTTTACTATAATACTATGTAATTTGTGAATATAGCTTTGCAAATTAGAAAACTAGTTCAAATTAGACAGTTCTCACCTGGAGGTTTTGGTGGCTCATCTAAGTGCAATGTTATTTCTACACTCTTTTTTAAAGTGTTTTGCTATTGTTGGTGTTATTTTTGTTATAAAAAAAATGCATTGCTCTCAGCCTTTTCACCTGGGTTGTAGCTTATTAGTTCTCTACTTAGCTACTGTTTTCCTTTGTATTGTTTTGTTCTATACTTCTCCTTTGTATTGTTTTGTTGTACTTTCCCTAGCTCCCAATTTGTTGTATTGTTTTATTGTATTTTTCCTAGCTCCCAGCTAGCCCTTTAATTTAATTAATTGTTGCCCTTACAAAAAAATGAAACTAGTTTTTTTTTTCAAAGTGGTTTTCAAAAAGTGAAATTCGTTCAATTCGTATGTTAAATTAATTAAATTTACGATTTTCCTATCTCTTTAATATTTAAAAAGTTTAATACATTCCAAAGACCCGTGAATAAGTCAACAAAATGGACCCGTGAATATATCAAGAAAATGAACGCTAAAAATGAAATGAAATTATTGCATGCAGAATTGCAGATTCAGTATTTGGAAGAAATTAAAAAGAAGAAGAAATGGATTCGCCAAGTTTGAAAAGAATTTGAAGCCGTGGAAATGGATATACGATGACAATGTGCATGAATCATTTTTTTGAGTGTTCCACCATCTTGAAAATTTCTTAAAACGAGACAATAATTTTCTGATGATGCGGGATTATATCTATATCAATTTCCGATATTATAGAAATAAAATTACTTGGAGAAATATTAATTCTAACTTTTTAGTTATTTAGTTTTTTGCTAATCGATGTAATATCTATTTATCCGACTAGACATTTCTTTTTATAAAATTTATCAGGCTAAACAAAGGCCTCTGGATTTTCAACTCTTACATTTTCCTGCCATAATATACACAGGCAATCAACGACACACTCAAGACAGGTTGTGTGCTCTTCCTTCAATAATCAATCCATGGACTCTAAGAACGTGTATATGATTAACCTCAAAAGAAGCATATGTTTCCTTTACCCCACCGATACGAATTTCCGACTCCAAGTTGACAAATATTGTGCAAATATTGTGACAACAAATTCTTATTCAATAAAGGTTAGTATAAAGTTCCACATAGCAAAAATAATAAGTATTTAAAAGGTTAATCATTAGAGATTCCCTAAGTCAAAGCTACATAACTTGAATCGTGGGCAAGCACCACCATCAGTCATTTTCCTCGTAGAAGAGGGTGTAACCTATCCCCTTAATGAAGGAGAACAATCTCCCTACCTAATGTATTTTTATAGTTTTTTCTTAATCTTGACCATACGTTTTTAAATTATGTATTTTGATTACGAAAGTTTAAGATTAACTTTGTTATTTTTTATATTATATTTTAATTGAGTATGGCAAGTGAAATATGTCTCTTGTTTTAAGGTATTTGTAGCTAAACAACTTGTTGGCATCAATGGTCAATCACAAAAATAATTAGCCACATGATTATTGGGAATATATGTAATTGACATAACTTTTGATTAGCAAGAAAATGATGATAAGTCATTATATTGTTAGAGATTGATCTCAAGGTCTACTTTAGTTAATTTAGTCTACTAATTTAAGAAATATTAGTCATTTTATGTATTGTTTCGTATATGTTAGATAAGTTTTTGTTTAAAGGGTATTTTTTGTCATTTTATTTATTTATTGCTTTGTTTGTGTTTATAAGTGTGGAAATACTCAAGGGAAGCCCAAGTTTTTAGCATAATCAACATAATCTCATATACCTTGAGGAATTGTGGAGGCTTTCAACTAAAGCATGCTTGTAAATTTGAGTAACGGGTAAAGGATTTGTGTGTGCATGGAGCAATGGTGTGGGTCAAACAAACAAATTCAAGACAACGACCTTGTGTGGGTCAAAAAAGTATGTCTTCGGGTTACTACATGAGAACAAAATATATGGATTTGGAGACAGATTTTGTTGATAATAGAAAAGAATTGAAACGTGCAATCCAACAACTTAATATCAATTTTAGATGAGATTTATTGAATGAAAAAACAATACACGTGCAAGCATGACTAATTCAATGTATGTTCAATTGTATAAAAAATAACACCCTATTTTAAAGAAAAGGCAATATATGTTCAATTGATCAGAATTATCATCTAATTTGCAACTTATGTTCAACTATGTCAGAAAATAACATCCTACGTTTTGGAATTATGCACAAAATAACATCTTTGCTTTCATAAATGAAGTTTAATAATTTGTTTATGGGTTTTGAAAACTATGATACATAAAACAAAAATAGGCTTCATTAGTGATTACGATTTGAAATTATCGATAGTATTTTTCTTTGTCAATCGTGGTTTCCACGAGTATCAACCTAAGATATATATATATATATATATATATATATATATATATATATATATATATATATATATATATATATATTAGGTGTAACGTCCCATTAGCCATAGTAAAAAGTTTTATTTTTAAAAAGACATTTTCATAAACCAAATAAGTAATTAATTATTGTTTCAAAACAAAACCATAAAAAAATCAGAGTATCGATATCATCTCTCAAACAAAAATCAGCAGGAGGATGTGTACGATCACGACTTCACATTGCC